GTTTTCTATTTAATTTATATTTTTAAATACACCGAAATTGAAATTTTAACTATACTTTATGTGCGTTTTTAATAGTTTGGTTATTCTAGCAGATTCTTAGAATCACATCAGCAGTTAGTTTCGTTTAGTTTTGGTAGATGGCGCTGCAGCAGTGAATCTATTTGAGTTTTGCCAGCGCCACTAGCAGGAGTGAGGTGGCCTAGTGTGTTAGCAGCGTGACGCTCGATCGAGGAGTCGCGGTTCGAATCCCGATCGATGCAACTGAAGTTAATTTTTTTTAATTGTTTCAAAATATTTTTATGTTTTATTAAATGAGTTTGGTATTTTATTTATATTTTTAAATACATTGAAATTGAAATTTCAGCCCTACTAAATGAGCATTTTTATTTGTTGGGTTCAGGGTAGTATCTAGTCGAGCACTCTCGACTAGAATTTTCTTACTTGTTTCAATATTTTCTGCAGATTGTTGAATTGATTTTGGCAGTGCGCTCGAAAGTATGCAATGACAATTTGACTATCTCAACTTTTAGCCAGGGGAATGAGCTGGGAATCTATTTCAAATGAATAAGCCCCGCTAATTGTGCACATAATCTGTGCAATTATATAATATATAGCTTAATAGGGAGTGTAAGAGATTTTTTTCTGATTTAGCTCACGGCGGCAGCTGTGGAAACTTAAAGCTGTCTCTGATTACACTTGAGCCAAGTGCCACGCCTCCAGTTGCTGGCGCGCGCCTCTTGTCTTTGCTTTTAATTAGCCCACTGCACGCTCTTAAGCCCCAACCATTCTTCTTCCGCTTCTCCTTGTTTTTTTTTTTTTTTTTTACTTGTTATTTTTGTCTTTCCGCCTCCGCCCGCGGACTAGCTCCCTCTCCCCCTCTCACTCTATTCTGCTGTCTCTGTGTGTATCTCTCTCTCATTTCCTTGTAATCAAATCCGCGTTGCTTTCCACTTTGTGCTGTGCATACTTTGAAACGCCAACAGATGAATGAAAAGTGTGAAAAATATTTGTGAAAATGCTTAAGTTGACTGGAATTTTGAGCGTCCAACAGCAACGGCAACAGTCAAGCTGAATACAAAAAAAAGGGTTCAAAAAGGCCAAAAGCAGCATGCACAGGAAACTGTGGCTAACGATGCTTGCCGTCGCAAAGTCGAGCCGAGCCGAGCTGAGCAGAGCAGAGCAGCGCAGCTGAGCCAGAGGTGTGGCGTGGCTGTTGTGTCATTTCGAGTAGGTTGTCAGGCTTATCAACTTATCAACACACAGCGCGCACACACACACACGCACACACACAGACAACTAGACAACCAGAGACAGACACCTAACAAACTTTTGCTTTTAAGTTGGCAACTGACAAATTCGACACAGCAGCAGCAACAACAACAACAACAAGCATAAAAATCAGTGGGAAATGCTTGTTAAACTGCATCCGGTTGAGGGCTAATTGCACCATTGGCTTGCCAAAAATATATATTTTTCAAAAAAATATGAAAGTAAACAGAGTTATGTCACAGTAGATACCCTGTAAAATTCGAATTCGAGAATTTCTTAATAAGTCACTCTATATAGCTTAAGAGTAAATACTCAAGTATATGTATATACAATAATTTAATAAAAGTTAATTAAATTATTTGACAGAAAAGGTCATAGTCAGGGTCTTAACTTTATAAATACATATGAATCAAAAACGTATTCGAAAATTAAACGAAAAATATATATAGAAATATATATCCATAAAGCTTAAACTGCATTTAATTTATATTCAAAAAAATAAAAATAAATAAATAAAATAATAATATTTTATATATCAAACTAGAAACTTCGAATTCGTCAGTTTAAAACTAATGTCAACTTAAAAGACTAACTTAAATAAAGAGTAGCTAAAATGCCCTCACTAGATGCCAATGCCATAAGAGCTGTCTTGGTCGACAGTGCTGGTGCCTCACACATATCCTATAATTATGAGTGTATTTATTAGTAACAAAAGTTTTAACCAAAATAAGAATTCCTTGCAATTTGCCAATGCTTTGATACTGAGGGAAACAGCAAGAGTGAAATTTTGTTATTTTTATAAAAAGAAACAAAAAGTCCTTTTGCTTGTGGTAAAGCTGAGGGTCTTTCAGAAATGTGTTTGGGTTGGGGGATTTAAACAATTTCTATTTCGCTCTTCCAGATGTCCCATTCTGCCGGTTACTCACTTGGCAGTTTTTGCATACTTTATAGGGTATACATATGTGAACATGAATCTAAACCAGAAACCATCTATTCTGACCATTTCAGAGTGCAACGCCAATGAGTACAGATGTCGCAATGGAATGTGTATCGATAACAGCAAAGTCTGCAACTACGTCGCGGATTGTGTCGATGGCGAAGATGAGGGCGATGACTGCCGTAAGTAGATGAGCAAATGCAAATCCATTTATACCTGAAACCGTATACACACACAACTACACATACACATACACGCACTTATATATATATATATTATATATTATATACATGTAAATTTATTGGTAGACGTAAGCCCAAAACTATTTTGGATACGTCTATGCGTTGACTAAGTTTGACTAAGTCTCTAGCTGTAAGACATATTAGATAATCGGTAATCGATAACCGCTACTTGTAAGCCGATATCCGACCTGTCGGTCGTAGGCATAAGTCCGCTTACGGTAACTGTCCCCCATTAGCCAACTTGATTAACCACCAACCTTATTAACCACTAACCACTAACCGAATTATTTTTGCTCTCTTTGCTTTCTCTCTTTCTCTCTCTCCTTGCTCGCTCTCTCTTGTACGCCTGCCTGCCCGCTCGCAAATGGGGGCACCAACTAACACTGAAATAACCATAACAAATAAAACAACAACAAACAATATCAATAATAATCATTACCGTTATCCGATCACCGTATACTAACGCTAACCAGCCGCCGCCTGCAGCGGCATGGAGTATCAATGTCGCGATGGCACCCGCTGCATCAGCGTCAGCCAGCAATGCGATGGCCACGCCGATTGCAGCGATGCCGACGATGAGGAGCAATGCGATGGAAGTGAGTATCAAACAGTCAACCAATCATTCGATCAATCTATCATTCAATCAATCAACCAATCAGTTTCAATAACTTGCTGATCACACTGAACATCAAATTTCAGCATTTAGCTTAGCTTAGCTTTCCACTCTTTCTTCTCAATCTCAATCAATCAATCATGTTAGTTGATATACAGTAGAATCCGGTTATAACGACACTAATGGGACGGGTGTTATACCCGGAAGGCGCTATAACCGTATAAGTTTGCTCATAAAAGTTTAAATGGGGACCAGAATTTTCGTCGATATACCCATACAGACGCTATAAGCGGAGCCGTTATAACCGGATTCTTCTATATTTTTGTTTGGCATATACTGTAAATTTGATTCCCTTTACTTTTAATCATTTCATCAATTTTAATTCAGACACATCCAAAGGCATCGAGTCTTTACGATCTGTCTCTCAATCATTTTATGAGTGAATATATTCTTAATTTTCTCTCTCTCTTCCTCTCTCTCTTTCCCTCTTCTAATCGACTCTCTTTCCCACTCCTCCACTATCTGCGTCTCTTAATCCCATTTGATTGAAACGTATTCCAAAGACAAAGAATTTCTATCCTCTTTCATCATTGCCGGTGTCTCTCAATCATAATTGATTGAAACATTTTCTTGACATCGAATTTTCAAGTCTTCTATATCTCTCTCCCCATCTTTCACACTCTGTCCCTCTCAATCAAGAAATGCTAAATGCTTTTGAAATATGTTCAGTGTTCAGATCAGCATACATAACAATTCATCAATCACTCAATCCATCATATACATTTTGCTCATAATCTAACTTTTTTGCTCTGCATATCCACAAATCTCCACAACTCTCCCCTCTCCCACTCCCTCTCCGCGTCACTCTCTCTCTCTCTCGCTCTCTCTCTATCTCTCTTTGTCATGCTGCTCAGTTGTGCCAAGGCTGCGCTACACGTGCCCCAAGGGCAAATTCACCTGTCGCGATCTCAGCTGCATTTCGATCGTGCATCGTTGCGATGGACGCGCCGATTGTCCCCACGATCGCTCCGATGAGGAGGGCTGCCGTATGTCTAATAGCGCACGCGCTCTTCTCACTCTTCTCGCTCTTCAGCTTAATACATTATACTTTGCGTATATTCTCTCTCTCTCTCTTTCTCCCCCCTTATCTATCTCTATCTCTTTCGTTAACTGCTCATGCAGCCTGTCTGTACGACAAATGGCAGTGCGATGATGGCACTTGCATTGCCAAGGAGCTGCTCTGCAATGGCAATATCGATTGCCCCGAGGATATATCAGACGAGCGCTATTGCGATGGTGAGTGTGTGCATATGTGTGTGTTCGTGTGCCTGCCTATCAGTGTGTGTGCGTGTGTGAATGCCTGGGTATTGCTCTGTTGGACTGCTCGAGTGTGTGTTCGTACACTCGCAGGTAAGTTGGTTCGCTCCATTGTCTCTTCTGTTCCTTTTGCCGTTGCACAACACTGTTTGGCACTTATCGATTCCCCGCTCCTGACAGCTGTCAACTGTCAGCTGTTGCCTTGGTCAGTCGCTGACTTCCTCCTGACACTCGCCACATTCGAAACGCATAACTAATCCACACATAGCCTACTATCGGCAATCGATAATACATTATTAATCACATATACCAACACACACACACATATACTCAAACAACTCAGGTGGCTACGATGCCGATCAGTGTCTGTACAATGAGTTCCGCTGCAGGAACGGTGAGTGCATACCGATGCGTCAGGTGTGCGATAACATCTACGATTGTAACGATTATACAGACGAGGAAGACTGCGGTAAGTCCTTCGTCTTGTATTGTTATCAATAGTTATTATATTTGTATCTCTGTTTCTTTGTCTACCTCTCTCCCTCTCTCTGTGTGTTATTGATATAAGTTTTATATATTTTAAATGCTTACTGCGGTTCTCTGTTCACAACTTTTGGTAACTGTTTTGGTAACTACTTGGTGACGGCTCTCAACTCTCGCCCTTTACTACCCCTCCCCCCGTTTCTCTATATCGCTCTCTGTCTTTCTGCGTGTTTACCGCTTCTTTGATAATTCATTTATCGATTGCTTTTGCGTTTCTGTGTTTAGCTATTATGCGTGTCAACTGCCCAAAAATTATGATTTTTTTCTTAACAAATTTACATTTTATTTCTCTTTTTTTCCAATTCGCCTTGAAAACAATTCGAAAAAAACAAAACAATTTTATACAAACAAATATGTGAACGAACTTGGTTGTGGTTATCGAATGTCCAAAAACTAATCGATTAATTGCACGTTACAACAACTACAACCCAACTCCCCGCAACTGGAACAACGAATCGAAATCGACAACAACAACAACAATAATATCAATTGGCTCCACTGCGAAATTTGCATGCTCCAAACATAATAACAAAAATCAAAATCAAAATTTGCATTAAATTCGAATATCGATGTCCAATCCATTTGCCTAATATCCCCATCCTATATCCATATATGCCGGGTTTTGCATGCGGTCTATTACCATTACCCTGTCCGAAATCCTTTCCTTGCCCTTTCAAAACCGGTAAACGTACGCGGCCGCTAACAGATCCGAACGATATCGGAAACAACATCGATGATGATGTGATCGATCGTGATGGCATTATACGCCAATATGGAGACCATCGCCATCCTCCGCCGGCTCCTGGCCGCGATAACGAAAGAAATAGATACAAAGATGGCTTGCACAAGGCCGACGCGGAAGAGTACGAGCTGTACTATCCGCAGGATCATTACGCAAAAGCAACTCCCCAAAAGCCGTGCGATGCCGATCACTTCAAATGCCAAAATAACGTTTGCATTCCGATCCGCTTACGCTGCGATGGGTTCCACCACTGCAACGATCGGAGTGACGAAGCTGATTGCGATCGATATAGGCCTCCAACAACCACCAGGCGACCCGTAACGCTTGCGCCCACGCGTTATCCCTGGGTAACATATGGGCCCGCCCCACTGGAACGACTGACAACGGCTGCGCCGCCCTTAACTAGAGTAACACCGGCTGCCACGCGTCCCACCACTAACCCAATACCAATAACAACGAGAGGAGTTGCATCGAGTAGGTTTCCTAACTGTACTAGCTCGTATTAACGAGTAGCGGGCTGGCTTACATTCTGTGTGGGCTTTAGAGCAGCGAGAAGCGTGCTAGCGCTACGAGCTACAACTATGAGTAACGTATAATAAGTAACGAGTAATAAATAGTGCGTAGCAAGTGGTTAGTTACGGCGAGTAATGAGTTGCGAATAATAAACTATAAGTAACAAATAACGAGTAACGAGATGACGTGTTAGAGATGACAAATAACTAGTTACAGGTGAAGAGCACTTGATTACAAGTTATGCCACTCTCGTTACTTGCCAGTTGAAAACTACAATTATCAAGTAACGAGCGACGAATAACGAGTTGCCAGTTACATAAGTAACAATTAACGAGTTACGCATGAGGAGTTAGAAATTCCAAGTAATCAGTTACAAGTAACGGATAATCAGTTGCAAGCTATGCAGCACTCGTTACTTCACAGTTAAAAGCTGCGATTCTCAAGCAACGAGCTACGAATCATAAGCTACTAGTCACGATACAAGTAACGAGCTACGAGTCTCAAGTAATGAGTTACAAGTATCGAGTTGATTAAGGAAGACTCGTTACTTACTACATAGTTGCTACATACATTCATTAAGTGACGAGTAATCAGTTGTGTATTCTCGTTTAAATGGGCTTGGGTTCGGGTTAAATTCTTTGGGTTAGACGACTTTGATATCAAAGTGCATGCCATGTCTGTGACTCTACAATTGAAAATGAAACATTGAAACTTACTTAAGCTAAGCACACACACTCGTACACGCACACACACGTACAATCAACTAGTTATAAAGTAAAGCGTTTAATTTAGCATTTAATGTTATGTTATTTTTAAATTTATTAGTCCTAGATCGTTTTTAATTATAATTGCCACACACACACACATACCCACACACGCACATACGTATACATTACCAGCATTTCCCTCTCTATGTATATTTATACCGCTCTCTTTCTCTCTCATGCACTTATTGTGAATCTCTATCTCTCTTTTTTATGTTATTTTTATACGTGCTCGCTCGTATTATTATAAATATGCCTTGTTGCCTGCCAAACACCAACACCGAACATCCCGACATTTACACAAAAACAAAACCCCAACACCATTTATAGACAGCTCATCATCATCATCATCATCGTCATCAYCATCATTGGGCAGCAATTGCCTCGAAAACATTGAATTCGCGTGTCACAATCGCGATTGCATTCCGATTGAGAGCGTCTGCGATGGCATTCCCGACTGCCAAGAGCACGAGGACGAGGACTATACGCTCTGCAATTGCAGCGCTGACAAGGTGAGTCCTCGCACACATACACCCAGTCACCCACACACATACACACAGACACACACACATACATAGAGACTCTCACCAACAACATGTGTATTCCCAGTACAAATGTGTGAGGGGCGGCGGTTGCATACCCAAGACTCAAGTCTGCGATGGCAAATCTCAGTGCCGCGATGGTAGTGATGAGAGCGCATGCCGTAAGTAAAATTAAAAAAAAAAAAAAAAGAAACACCCATCCATGAACCACCTACAAACCACCCTCAAACCACCTATGAACCACCCACCCACACACACACTTTGGCGCTTGTATCTCGCCTGCAACATGAACTAATTATCCAACTAACAACCTATCTAATCTAGATCTTAAGCATTGTTTAAATTGATTAGAGATGGGCGCGTGTCGTGACACGATGCAGCCACATAAAAATTAATTACTAAACAAACACTAGCATAGCCTCATCTAACAGTAATATTCTTACAAAAAATTATTTATTATT